ATATAAAGAATGACGAAATCTGAGTTATAACGAAGAAGTTATGATCTTCGAAGTTTCACGACAAAACCGGCACGACGATGTATGACATAAAATATGAATTTAAGAAAGAGCGATATCTAGCCTTAGTGATCTAAACGAAATTTATAGAATATGTTAAACCAATAGCGTACATGAAAATAACTTATAAATCTGACTTCGTATGACGAAGTTATGATTTTTCTAAGTTTCGACTTAGCAGTATGCAGCCCGAAACTCGAATTTTAGATCGAGTGATTGTTAGCCAAAATAATCTAAACAAGAATCGAAGATCTCATCGATAGTAGTCCAACGGTGAAAAAACAGATGAAAACGGACATCAGATGAAGAAGTTATGTATTTCTAACGGAGTTTTCCTGTCCCGACCTACTAAAAATAGTATAATACAAATAAATTCAAAATTAACCAACTGAGTCTAAATGAAAGTTGTGGAACATAGTCTCACCTACGCGTGGATATAAAGAACGTAAAAAAATGGAGCTCACATGGGAAAGATACAAATTTTTGAAGTTTGAGAAATGGGAGTACGCCCAACGTACCTGTATGCATGAACTGAAATGGGCCACGTCGACCTGACCCAATGCTCGAGTGCATGAGTCCGTAAGCCATGATGCATTAGGCCTGATCCGAAGCATACGCCCAGCGTACTGCTTGTAGAGTGAGTACGCCCAGCGTACTCTGAGATTACGCCCAACGTAATCCGATGTTCAGCCCCTATAAATAGAGGTCGTGGGCAGTCGAGTTTTGTTGCTCATTTCTTCCCTCTCGCTCGTTATTGCCTCGTTTTACGTACAAGCTTTACCCCCGAAGCCCCGGTATCATTCCCGAGACCCGAAGAAGGTCCCGAAGCCCCGAGGGTCCTGAGAAGTAAACTTTTCGAGCCAAAACTCTGCCCGCGTAAAGCCCGGTTTTGGAGAAAACGTCTCGGTTTTATCGGAAAATATTATTTTAAGAGACGAGGTGATGTCTGATCATCGTATTATCATGTGAGTGTGTAGTTACTTTTTATAACACATAAATACGAAGTATTCTCTATAAAATATGTGTTGTGTGTATATATATTATGTGTTATTTGAAATGAGTATTGATTGGATGTTTTAATGTTTTATACATGCGTTATGTTGTGTGTGTGTGTGTGTGTGTGTATATATATATACAAAGATGTTGGGTAGAACATGGATAGATATTGGATCTATGCTGAAATAAAATGATGAGAGGCCTCGATGTTGATGTTGTTAATCTAGTCATCTAGCGGAGTATAGATAACGACCACAGACTCTTTCTAGACTGTCCAGTGGAACGCTGACAGGTTCATAACCTGTAGGTGCTGTGAACGATGTGTTCACCGGTGTACTTTATCCCCCTCATGGTTGCCTTTAGAACATTTATTGTCAAGGAAACCCCTTTGCAGTAATGTCTATACCGATGAAAATCCTAGATTAGGTCCCATGTAATAGTTGTTATCATAGGGACGTAAAGTGAAGATAACGGGAATGAGTAATTAGGTTATTGTTGGATGGTGAAAATTAAATATAATTATTTATTGTAGGTTGAAAACCCTATATACTCACCAGACTCCCAAGTCTAACCCACTCAGTTTTATTTATATTACAGGTAGTGGTGCAAGAGCATAAGTTGGAGAACTTGTGAAGATATTTTGTTTATAGGCCAGTAGTTGTGTATAACTGTTGTAAGGCTTATAATATGTCGTTTATGCTTTTGTGTCTGTATCGGAACATGACATCCCAAGTTTTGATATATAATGAAAATACATTTATTTAAGGAATGCTTTGATAAATTTTATTTATCATATTTTGTTTTGGGAACAAATTCTGCAACTCTTTTAAATCAAAGGATTATCTGAAAATTATTTTAAAAGCATAAATTAAATCGGTCTTTTTCTGGCCGTGATTTTGAGGATGTCACACTTACGCACAAAGAAGTGAAGCCTCATCCGCCAACAAATCATGTGAACATATAACAGATAATCATATAACAGTCTACATCCAATCACACACATCTACAGATCACTAAGCATAGTAACATCCTATCTACTAGTATACCGATCTAACAGATTGTAACCATACAATAGCATGCATAACAGAATATCAATGTAATGGGTCAGCATTGGTGCCTTCGACCCGCAAGTATAGTGAGGACAAATCACCTCACAAGTAGTGCAAAACTGATAAGGTCTGACTCCGAATCTCATCTCCCGAATCAATACCTACAACCATCATGATCAAACCTATCAAAATCCCAAAATACCCAAAATGCCCTCAAAACTCCAACTTGGTCAACCATTGTCAAAGTCAAAGTCAACGGTCAATGTCAGCAGTCCATGTTGACCCAACTTGTCGAGTGCACCTTATGAACTCATCGAGTTTTACATTACTCAAAAATTTAGGGAAAACCCTAGCCAACTCGCCGAGTTTTCCCCAGCTTAACACATTCAGATGATTCTTTGATTCCAGGGATTCTAAGGCTCAGATCTGAACTCCAAATGTGTCTAAAAGGATAAAGCTTCTAACTTTATCCTTTGGGGCTACTCCAAATGCTCAAAAACCCTTCTACAAGGCTTAAAAACTCAAAGGCTTAACCATTAAACACAAACCCTTGAGAATTGGAACCCAAATTTTCCAGAAGATATTCTAGCCTCAAAAACGTCCCAAAGATTGGTGCTTTATAGACATGCATGTCCACTACATGTATTGAACCCAAAATGGGTCAAAAAGGGGAAATATGGCTTAAACTCCATGCATGGCATCAAAGCTTGGCAAAAGACCAGATCTAACCCACTCTAAGGTCACCTTGACTTGGAGATTCATAAAGTTGCTAACTTTATGAAGTCCGTCCATTGCAACATCCAAGAATAAGGAGAAAAATGGACAAAACTCAAGATCTAGATACATAGATAGATAGAAATCGGATCTTGAACACTTACAATGGTCCAAAAGATTGCCAAACTGAAGATAAGAGCTTTGCTTGCTAGATCCTCGCTTCATTCTCTCAGTCTTCTTATTTTGCTCCAAAATGCCACACTAGCTCACAATAAGAGATGGAATGAGGATTAGGGTTCACGAGGCCGATATGAGAGTTAAGAGGCTGATAAAAGATCAACCTCAAGGACTTAAGGAGGTTATATAGGGTGTAAACCCTAAAATTTAGGGTTTCTCACCCAGCCGCCAACTTGTCAAGTTGGTCCAAAAAGATGTGCAGCCCAAAAGCCTTCGATACATCGAGTTGAGGCCATCAACTCGCCAAGTTCCAATGGAAACTTGCCTTTAAAGGAATAAATCTCATACCTAGAAATCGGGATGTTATAGTATTTTAGTATATGGTATTTTGAAGAACTCACCAAGTCTCGTGTATACCCAATTGAATAAAAATGTTTTTCAGGTACTTCAATGATTCGTGAGAAGGGCAAGTTTCGATTGTACACACGCATTTGCAACATGTTTCCGCACAATGTAATCATACTCTAATATATTTTAATAATTAAAAATGAAAATTTTACTTTGAAAATCAAGACATTACAGGTGAATTTAAGAGACCTAAATGGTCCCCATGGTTTTTATATCGTTTGAAGGGTTTTCCATGCTAAAATTTTGATTTCAAATTGTGGTTCTTGTTTTCTATTTTAGGTTGTTCTCGGTAGAATTTATAATTGTTGTTCTTGTTTTCTATTTTAGGTTACTCTCAGTAGAATTTGTTAGAAAATCGGTGTGTTTAGAAACTTTGAAAACTGAGAGTCGTGAATTGCACATTCAAATCAAAGTATTTCTATGGTACTCTTGAAATCTTTAGATCGGATAAACACAATGTATATCAAGAATAGAGAATGAAAAGGTGTTATGGTCTTGTGATATACCATATAAAAATGAGAATGACTAATATTAGGATATAACTTATTTATCTGAAAACTACATTGTCATAAAACTACAAAAAAAACACAATATAGCAGTTTTATAACCATCTCAAACTGTCACTAAATTGGGTTCAGGATTAGGCCAAAAAGCAAGTTATTTTTCTTAAATTAGGATTTTAATGTATTTTCCACAAAACAATATCGACCCCAGCCAGGGGCTCTACCCCTTGGACCCCGCAACTAAGGGTGTTGCCCCTAAACCCACGGGGGTTCAGAGGTCTCGCCTCTAAATGACAGTGTACTTTGAATTTTGAATAAACTCAAAAAAAAAAAAAAAAAAAATGCTCACTCCACACCGATCTAATTTGTTTAATATTCATCAATATTACATTTTAATCACCAAACTAATGACATTACACTCAAATAATATTAGTCATACAAATTACCAACATAATTTATAATATCATATTTATATTGAAAGTGAAATTTTTAGTCAAACATAAACTATTTCGACACTATTTGTATATATTTTTAGCTGTGTTTCTAGGTTTAGTTTATAACATAGAAATATTCATGCAAAAACATACACAAAGCGAACTAGTACTAATTTTAATTGTTTAACATTTCTCTTTAGTTGTCAATTATCTTATATCATTTTTATTTTTAAATTATGTTATTATGTATAGACATATGATAATCGAGTTTAAATGTTTAGTGAATTCTATATGAAGTTGGTTATGTTTTTATTTATATTGATAATTCTTTTATAACCAAAACACAACACACTATAAAGAGTATGTAAGTTATGCCGACACAGCAGCACCTCCGGTCCACATTCTTATTACCCTTTTTGGAATCAGAAGCATAATGAACCATCAATAAAGATCAATCGAATGCCAACTATGGAGTGGAACAAAAAGAATAAAGAAGAGTAAAGATGTTCATATTGGATTAAAGTTAACAAAGCAAAATTAAATAACAACAGAAATAATTTGACCGGCAAAAGTGAAAAAAAGGCTGCTACTATTAAAATTAAAGCTTAAGAGAAGGAAAAAAAAAAAAAGAAAAAGAAAAAAAAAAAAAAAAAAAACAAGATCTAATACAACTTCCTAACGTAAAGAATTTTGAACAAGAAAAAGTTCGTCCCCACGTTTCCACGTCATCATGGGTGGGACAGCAGGATACGCCACGTCATCATTAAATTAAATATATTATATCTTCTTTTCTTTCATCTAGTAAAGTCATGGACGAGGCCTGGTCTGTCAGTGACGTTAAGCCGCCACGAGAGGAATGGCGAATCTCTGTCGTCCACGTCATCCATGAACCTATATTCATTCGACGCCACCGACGCCGTCGAGTAGCATGACGGCATTTTGTAGGAGGATTGTGAGTGATTCATCCACTGGTTCCCGTTGTTCATCATGTATTGGTGGTGGTGGTATCCCTCCGTCGAATCACTTCCACCGTTCGAAACCACCGCCGCCGCCGCTGCGTTCGCCCGTCTCTCCTCCTTCTTGTATCTAATCCCACATGCATTACACAACGACTGCAAACAAACAACAATTTAATTAGAATTCGATTCACTTTTCTTTATCTATAGCTACATTCCGTTTGATCGGTTTAATTTTCAGATAAATACAAAGAACTATAAGCTCACCTTAGGGCCACGAGGTCCATTCCTCCAAAGCGGGGTAGAAGTGGTGTCGCAGTTAGCGCACCGCCGTGAAAACAGACTATCAGCGGCGGCAGAACCGTTCCCGTTACCATTACCATCGCCACCGCGATTGGATTTATGAGCAGATGGCGCAGAGGAGTGGCTAGAGGATTGCAAAATGTTCCACCAGTTAGACCCACGGCGCTTTTCATGGTCGTTCGTCATGCGAGTAGACGGCGTACCCAAAGACAAAGTACAATCGACGGAAGACGGCGACGACGAATAAGGGCCCATGATTTCTTCTTCGTAAGGCATTGGGAATATGGAAGAGAAGGAGTTTTGTTGATAATGGTAGAGACCACAAGAACAGGGACCCATCATGGTTGAACCAGTGCACCTGTTCATGTTTAATGTGTCAATGCAACTATGTAAGCAGAGTAGAAGGTGATGATGAAATAAGGGTCAATGCAAAGAGAATTGCAGATGAAGTGGTTGTCGTGATGTTAACGTGTGTTTTGGGGATGTTGCTATATATGAAGAGTTTTGAGGGGCCAATGAAGAACTGGAAGAAGAATATGATATGAGAGGGTGATGCTGATGCTGATGCTGATGGAATGCAATGAGGGGAGGGGGGTTGAGGTGTTTATATAGGTATAGACGAGTGGGTCCAGTTGTTGTGAATATTCCACATATGTAGTTTTGTCGTCTTGTCTTGTTCCTCGTATGGATGAGTACTGTGTTTCTCAGAAAACAGTACACGTAGATAAATACTCTACATTTTTCTATTTATAATATCGATCCTATATTTATATATAATTCATATTTGCGTTTTCTTTTACCTTTGTAACGAATAAAATTGTGTAAGTTCGTTTGTTGAGATTGGATAATATTTTGAATGTTACGGGAGTGAAAAGAAAATCAAGCTTGCTACATTGTTGGAAATTCAGATTTTCCAACTTTTGTTTTCTAATATTTGACGATATATTTTAGTTTAATTAATAAAATTAAAAAAAAGAAAAGAAAGTAGGACATTGTTATAAAAAATAAAAAATCAAATATATCATTATCATTAATGATAGGTTAGAAGTAACCTGATAACAAAATATTGCAAATATAGAGAAAAGTAGAGCGTGAGTTATCATCTAGTCCTTTTATCCTATTTTATGATCTGTAAGCGATTTTCTTAATTCGTAAGTTTTATTTCTGTTACACTATAAATTTGATGTTAAAATGGACGTATATATGTACGATAGTAAAAGTTATAATACCAAATCTAAAATTGAAGGTATTAAATAAAGTATAATAGAAGCATTATTCTTTGTAGTTAAGTAATGAAAAACAATGGTACAAAGTGTTGTTGGCAAGAAATAAAGAGAGATTCAAAAATGGTATGATTGAGAGAGGGTTTTGAGGGGGTTGTTTTCTTTTGGGAGTAGATGGTCAAAAGAAGCCACGTGACCAGGGGAACAGTCTTCCATGGATCTACACTTCTCCGATCACGAGGCGCACAATCCTTTTCTGTAATTACCATTATGTCCTTGCCTCTTCAAATTATAATCCAACTATCATCCAAATTATACTTCAAATATCTTGTTCAAGAACTTAACTAAATTGAACAACGAGAGTGTTAGAGGGGTAATTCCGTAATTATAGTGGGTGTGGTGAACCATTGCCATGAGGTCACGTGATGGGGTTAGGTTTGGGCTTGGATTTGGGGGTGGGGGTGGGGGTCCAGATGAGATGAGGGCAGGTTGGTCAGTGGGTCACAATCGGAGTCATAGTGAAAAAGAAAAAGAGGAATCCAGAGATTTTGTTATGATTATAAGAGAGAGAGAAGAGAGAGAAGAGAGAGATGTTAGATACTACTGCAATCATCAAAGCAACCTATTTTCCTCTGGGTTTTGGACAAAATCTTTGACCCAAATTATTACTATTATTAAAACAGCTTGGAAAAAAGCAATTATTATACATTCTTGTTCTCAAAAGAAAAAACACACACACATATACATATACATATAGAAACACAAACATATCAAAAGCTCCTAAAATGGACCAAATAGTTCAAACAACGACAATAATTAAAATACTAATATTTTGTTTAATGTGATAACTATTTATTTATTTATTTATTTATTTATTTTAAATTGATACATCAAGATAGCCTAAACTAATTTCAAATATTAAAAGACTAACAGTATTAGTTTGATATTTTTAATCAAAATTATGTTTTTTTAGTCATAATACAAATGCTTTAAGTACATATCATTTATTCATCTTGTTTAGTTGAAGACAACACTTTTTTTAGTTCGATCCCATATGTATTTTTAGTTCTTATCATACACAATTTTTGAACTTTAGGAAATTAGGTTGGTGGTTGCAAGAATCTAAACACAAAACCCAATGTCTAAATTTAATACATAGAAACGAATCTATGAATAATTATGTTCATACTATCTAAAAGAATAGTCAGATTTTATTAAACTGTAACTAATGTGACATAATTCATAAGCAATGAAAATCCATGAGTTGACATAATACGTACGACAATGACAAACTAGCACTAAGGTATTCCAGTAGAAACTACCAAATAATAGGACAAGTTTCTCAAATTGAACAGTATAGAATTGTGAACGAGTCAAACATACTGGTCAAAAAGACCATGTTACATTTGCTTGGGGTGTAATCTAGGGACAAAAATAAGGCAGAAACATCTTAGAAAAAAAAAACAAACAAAAAACAAAAGTGGAGTGGGTCCATATTGACAGCCACAGTGATAGTTCCCATCCCCAAAGAACAAACACAACCCCTTTGGAATATCAATCGAATCGACAAAAAGATTCATACAAAACATCAAAACACTTGGAGAACGAGAGAATCAGATCGTCTCGAGATTTGTGAATGTACCTTAAATTATTTTCATTATTTTCAACTGACATTTTAAGAAAGGATAATCACAAAAAAAAAAAATATATATATATATATATATATATATATATATATATATATATATATATATATATATATATATATATATATATATAAATGTTTACGCAATAGATATATTTTATAAAATAGATTATTGTGAATGATTCTTATTTGTATAATTTATCATTTTACCTGTTTTATGATTTTGTTACGAGCACTTTCCACCAAAATACACCGAAATGCTCTCGAGTGCATATTTTTAGTTTTTGGCAAACAATCTGTACAACAAAATGGAATCAATTGCTCTTTAAAAAAAAATGGAATCAATTTGTAGAGAATAATGGAATAAATTGACAAGAATGCTTAACTAACAAAAAGTTTCACACAACTTATCTCCTCCTTACACTCATCAGCATAATAGAGTCGTTGAAAGATGAAACCGCTCTCTTTGCGAAGCTGCAAGGACTATGCTATCTTTTGCGAATCTTCCACTTTACTTCTGGGTTGATGCTATCGGAATTGCTTGTTTCGCTCAGAACCGCTCTCTGGTCAATAAAAAATTCTTAATCACATCTTATGAGATTCTGAATAAAAGAAAACCTAACGTAAAGTTCTTTCATGTCTTTAGTTCCAGGTGTTTCATATTCAATTATAAAGAGCAAAGGTGCAAATTCGATGTGAAAGCAGACAAATGAATCTTCTTAGGGTGCTCTCTTACTTCGAAAGCATATGTGGTTCTGAACAAGAAATCAAAAAGGATTCGAGGAAACCTATTATGTCACCTTTGACAATAATTATCTAGAGTATCAGAAAGCTGATTGTCCAAGATAGTGCCTAAACTATGAAGGTTGCTCTTGATCATTCAGATTGGGTGCAAGCTATGCAGAAAGAACTTAATGAATTTGAGTGTAACAAAGTTTGGCGCTTGATTCCAACTTCGAAAGATGCATATGTGGTAGGATTAAAATGGGTGTTTCATAATAAGCTTGACAAGGAAGGCAATGTGATTCGGAACAAAGCATGGTTGGTTGTGAAAGTGTATTACCAAGAGGAAGGTATAGACTATGAAGAAACGTTCGCATCAGTTACAAGGCTGGAATCTTTTTGGATTTTCCTTGCCTATGCAACACATAAGAATTTCGTCGTCTATCAAATAGACGTAAAATGTGTGTTTCTGAATGGTGAGTTAGAAGAAACAATCTACGTGGAACAACCACCAGGTTTCATAAATGAGAAGTATCCAAATCACTACTACATTTTGGATAAGGTTGTGTATGGTTTTAAACAAGCACCATGTACATGGTATGAAACTGTTACTCATTTCTTAAAGCAATCTAAGTTTAAACAAGGTTCGGTCAACCCAACATTCTTTCACAAGAAAGATGGTGACCATCTAATGATTGTCTAAATTTATGTTTATGATATTATTTTTGGATCCACTAATCCTAGATTAACAAATGAATTCTGAAAACTAATGGAAACTAAATTTGAGATGAGCTCAATGGGTCCTATTAACTTTTTCCTTGGTTTAAACATTAGACGGACTTTTGAAGGTATCTTCATTAACCAAGAAGCCTACACAAAGACTTTGCTTGAGAAATTTGGCGTGGTGGGTGATTCAAACGTCAAGGTTCCAATGGCATTCAGAACAACGCTCACTCCATCCTTGGACAAGCCTGCAACCGATATAACTCTTTATCGACAATTGATTGTTTCTTTAATGTACCTAACAACTAGTCGTTAAGATATCATGTTTTCTGTTTGCTATAGTGCTAGGTTTCTAGCAAATCCACGTGAACCCCATATGATGGATGTGCAAAAACATCTTCTAATACCTAAAAAGAACGACCTTTCTCAGAATCTGGTACCCTTCCAACTCACTGTTCTTTGTGCAAGCATTCTCCGATGCAGATCTTGGTGCATGTGGTCTCGATCATAAAAGCACTTCTGGGGGATGTCAATTTCTAGATGCCACCCGTTCCTGGTACGTATTTATTTTGATTAAATGTTTCTTTTTGGAAGATCTACTTGGCGAGTTGTAGCCCTAACTCACCAAGTAGATGTCGAGTTGGATGCGGGATTTAAGTGATCTGCTCGGCGAGTCCACGCCTGGACTCGACGAGTAGGCCAATCAGGAGGAAACCCTAATCCTTAGGGTTTGCACCCTATTTAAACGTCCTTATAGCCCCATCTCAGCCTCCATCACCCTCAGAGCATTCCTTATCGAAACCCTAGCCTCCATTGGTAAGTTTGAGTGATTGTTGCCTTGTGAAGGTACTTCTGGTGCACATTGGAGCAAGTGGAAGAAGGGAGAGGTTGAAGAGGTCAAGGAAGGGGACTTAGATCCAGAACACATTCGTTTGTGGTCATCCATTCTGGTAATAAAGTTTCTATCTTGATTATTGATCTATTAGATCTTGTTTGTCCCTAAATTGTTGCTTTTAAGCCCTAAAACCCCAAATCCTTTGTAGAGAAACCTTATGGTTGGGTTATACTTCAGATCTAGACTCTCATTACCTTTTAGAAGTGTTAAGTTTCAGTCATATTTGTGATTAAGGTCCCTCTTGAGCTTAGAACCCCATTAAGAGCTTATTTTGGACATTTGAAGCCCCTAAAGCTATGCATGCACGTAAAGTTTGCAAATTTACATGATAAGCTTGCCTTAGAAGCCTAGATCTGTGGTTTGGA